GAGAAGGAGAAGCAGGCTTCCCGCGGAGCAGGGAGCCCGATGCAGGGCTCGATCCCAGGACCCTGGGATCATGACCTGAGCCGAAGGCAGATGCTAATGACTGAGCCACCCAGGTGCCCCTAAATTTTATTTTTTTAAAGCTAGAAGCTCACAGTATCATTATAATAAAATTATACCATAGGTGGTCAAAGCTTTAGACTTAAAAAAAAAAAAAAGAAAAGAAAAAAGAAAAGGAAAGGAAAGAAACTGTGAATTAGGACAAAAAAACTTTAAAAAAAACATAGAAGTCTGAAACCATAAAGTGAAAATAATGATACTTAGAATTTAATGTATGTAAATACTTTAAATTTTTCTAATACAGAATATACCCTAACCTAAGTTAATAGAAAGACAACTACCATAATAATATTTTGGACACCTAACAAAGAATAATTGCCTTCATGAACAAATAGATTTGACAAATTAATAACTAAAGACTGAACACCTGAACACAGAAGAGGATCTGCAAATGGGTGAAAAATATTTTCTATTGCATTAGTAATCATTCAAAAAACAAGAAAGTAGATAATTTTGCTCATTCAATTGCTAAAAATTTAAAACATTGACAGAACCAAATGTAACTGAGGGCTTAGAAAAATGTGTATGCTTTTGCATTTTTGAAGGAGTGGATATTGTATGCTTTTCTGAAAATTTGTTTGGCAACATACATGGGAATTTAAAAGTAACATATCATTTGACCTAGAAGTCAAATTTCTAGTGACGTTTCCCACGGACAGTGCAGAGGTGCATCGAAGTAGCTGGGCACAGTCCTGGCAGTGTTGTTTACATCAGCAAAACAATTATAAAATTTAGTCAATAAATCTTGGCATATATGTCATATGTAGAAAATGGAGCACTGTGTAACAATTAAAAATGATAATTAGATACAGTTATTAACTTAAAGTATGTCTCTGACATGTATTGAAAAGCAAAAGCAAATTCGAGAACAGCATGTATAAGATGACTCCAATTTTGAGCACTTGTTGTGTTACTCATTTATCACTAATTTATTCATCTAGTTCTCTGTGTGGAAGCTGTGAAAACAAGAAACAGTGCTTTTCTCTAAACTATGGGAATTCAGGTAAATTTTACCTTCTTTGTACTCTTATATTTTTTAGACCGCTTCCTTCTTGGCGTTCCTTCTCCTCCTCTTCCTGTCTCTGCTTTTCTTCTTCTGTCTTCTTTTTCTTCTGCTGCTGCTGTTAGTTTGTGTTAAAGTGAGAAAGGAAAAGAGCTGTATTCATTTTGGAAGAGAACTGAATCAGACAGTGGTTTTTAAGAACATTCAAGATTTTGAGATGCCTTTAAAACTCTTTACAAAGTGTGTGTGGAAATAGACAACTGTGTATCTGAACAGTATTTGGGAAACTCAACTATTAGTCAAGAGTTTTAAATCAATAAGAGACACACATTTAGAAGCCACATGGTGTTTGGGGATTTAATCTCCAAAGATAATCACAGTTTTGCCATCTCTATTGTGCAACTTGTCTCTTTAATGATATTTTCAAATTGCCCCATCAAGCCTGGATGAAGTATTGTCACTGAGGGCAGTTAACTACATCCTATTATTCCCACAGACAGCAAGCTTTGTTATCATAAAGTTAAGATTGAGAATTTAAATTTGAAGTTCGGCAATTGGCAGTGAGGTTTGCAACTTTCAATTTTAGCACCCTCCATGGAGAATCCTGCGCTTTTGTGAGTTTCATGACTCCTACCTTTTGGGGAAAGGGTGGTTCAGACTTCATTTGAAAGCCTTTTTTTGCGATCTCCCTGTGGCCCAGACAGGGTGTATCAGAGTCTTGGGGGGGGGGGTTGGGGAGTCTGTTTAAACTCAGACAGCTGGGCTGCACCCAGTTTCTGACGTGAGAGGTCCAGAGTAGGCTCTTGGATTCTGCATCTCTCCTGCGTTTCCATGTGCTGCTGATGCTGGTATGGAGGTTACCAGCTTACAGTAACCTCACTTACTTACAAACCTATTTCCCACCTTTGTAATTGTAAACCTAAGATGTGCTCTTTAGGGTGTACTTAAAAGACTGAACCATTAAGCACAGGATGTTCTTAGAAGGAGGGCAACAAAAGTTCATTTGGATCATACTTTCACAGAGTTCTGACGATGTGCAGTTGCCATAAAGGGGCCACACTTAGCCGGAATCTTGGCAGAACTCATGAAAATTAGACAGCTGGAATAAAAGAAATTAGTTAGACCCTACCTCTTGTCTTTATTCCCTTTACAGTGGGTTTTTGTGGGTATTTGTATTGGTGGCGGGGACCCTTGGGGATGTCTTTATAGATACTGACTTTGCCCCTTTGGAGTGGGAACCGTAAAAGGGAGAGTTCACGGCCAGGAGAGTGAAGATAGACATTTTAAAGGAGCCGGGAAGAAGAACACATTTTCAGGTGAATTTCAATAATATTGAAACAGTATTATTCTAATATGTAAATCAAGGAAAGCGATTTCTGCAAGGACTAGCTAATAAGCCCTGTGTGAGAGAATAAAAATCTCCTCATGCACTTTTCTTAAATTTGTGGGTGTGATACATGAGCAGGGGCACTTAAGTCTTCCATAAAACATGCGTGATATGAGATGTTTCTTTCACCCGCCTCTATTTCTGACACCAGTCTTTTGAAAAAAATTATAAATCCTCATTAAGAGATATTGATGTTCATTGGGAATGCTATTTCCAGTTAAAACAGCAAGGTATTGAGTTCCTTTACGGTAGCCATTTACTCATTCTCTTATCACCAAATTTTATTTTTTGTGTTTTCAAGAAAGTTTCATGTTCTCATTAAGAATTTATCCCTGTTGAGACGAACCATGAGAGACGACGGACTCTGAAAAACAAACTGAGGGTTCTAGAGGGGAGAGGGGGGGGAAGAAGGGTTAGCCTGGTGAGGGGTATTAAAGAGGGCACGTTCTGCATGGAGCACTGGGTGTTATACACAAACAATGAATCATGGAACACTGCATCAAAAACTAATGATGTAATGTATGGTGATTAACATTACAATAAAAAAAATTTAAAAAAATAAAGAATTTATCCCTGTCTCATGGAGGAGTGAAATTTGAAGAGGGGAGAGGTTTTGTTTTCACATAAGAAAAACATTTTTAGAAGGCGGAGTGTTGTCTTCAGTGGGAATAAGCTGGTCTGAGAGGTGATAAGTTCCTTACTTCTGGAGGTTTTCCAGCAGAGTTTCCAGCAACAAGAGCCCCGAGTGCTGGCGTGGAGAGGGCTCCAGCATTGGTTGTTTCCAGCGATGATTTCACGATCCACTGATACGGTTTTTGTCTCTGGGCATGTTCTTTGGTTGTTAGAGTAATTAACCCCTGAGGTGAAAGCGTAGCAACTTAAGGTAGAATTACAATTTTTTCATACGTGTGAACTCACTGCTGTCCTCCCCTCCTTCGCCCCTCACTCACATCATCTGTCATACTGAGAATATTAGCAGTGATATATGGCCTGAAATAACTCCAGAGTCAAGAGAATAAGATTGAACTTTCAGTGCCAGAGATTTATGCATCAAAACTCTCCAGGTCCCAAAACACGTTTTATGAGACTTCATATGGAAGATCCAGTCCCTGGGCCTCAGGCTGCATACAGGCCGATCTGTGGGGTTCTCCTCCAGGCAGGCTTCCCTGATATGCAGCGAGCCTCTGAGATGGGGCGTGACTCTCTGGACTGTGGCACCGCCCACTGAACCTGTGATTACAGCAGGAATTCCAGCCCCACAGATGGTCAAAGTAAAAAAAATAATAATAATAATAAAAGAGCCAAATTGTACATGGTCATTGCATAATTACTCAGCAATCCTTCATGTTCTCAAGTAACGAAAACAGGAAATGACCTCAGAAGTGCTGGCAGCTGTATTAAGAGTATCTGCTGAGGGAGGTGTCAGAGGCGCAGCTCTGAGGCCCCAGCCTGGCCTCGTCCGTCCAGGAGTCCAGGAGGCCAGCAGAGGAGAAATAGAAGCAGGGCCGCTCTCAGCTTTAGGAACAAACCCCAGGGACTTCGATTTGGTTAGCACCTCCCAGTTCACTCCCATTCTCTCTGTTTTCTTGAAAAAGCCTTTGATTTTAGTCACTGTCCCTTGCTGGGCCCCTGTTTCTAAATTATTTAGTCAAGGTAGGTCAATGATAATTAATTTCAAGTAAGCTATTATTATGCTGACTATATAATATAACTCATTTTATTAAACTGACCATGTGATGGGGTCAGTTTAACAAAATGAGTTATATTATAACAAAATGGAAAAAGCGAATATGCAGAAACGGTGAAATTCGCTCTCACGTCTATTTTTCAAAGGCTCCCTGTCCTCTGGGAGAGCAACGGAAGTTGTAACCTAGTACAATGATCTCTATAGGAAGGTTTTTCAAAGGATACAATGTCTCCATTTTGAGCTGATTAATAACTTGTTTCTTTGTTTCTGGACATCAGCGGCCGGAGCACACAAGGGCTCTGCTATTTGTCAAGCAAGTTACTTCTGTACTTTATTTTCAAATACAAATTACATTTTTGAAGGTGCTTTCTTTAGAAATCATATTCTACTTGGGGAATGAGGTTAAATCACTATCTTTGTCACATGTTGCCAAGGGCATTTCCTGAGGGTTACCTCAAGAGGAGAATCTGAGCTATTTCTAGACATTTTTTTTTTTTTTTATGACCATAAAGAAGTTCCTGGTTTCTGCACACTCATTTAACTATTGGGCTCAAAATTCACAAATGATCATTTTTCCAGTTCATTCTCTTTTGCTCACCTCCATTACTCATTTAGTCTAAGGTACTATTTCTGTTTCAGTTATGATTGCAAATCAATTAAAAGGTTCTAGTGGTTGATGAAATCAAAGTAGCAACTGTTTAAAATATCTTCCGGGTGAATTTTTTTGTTTCACTGGTCCCACAGATCTAGACCCTCTTAGGGGTATTCGAAAACTTTGATATCATCTTATCTTTAGAGAATTACAGTGTAGCTGGAAAGACCAAATATAAACCCACAGAAGCTAAGTAAGAACACAAGATTTAAATGGAAATTTTCAATAAGACATGAGGTGTCTGTCACATGGTGGTGTATGATTAGTATTTAATTGAATGGTGAAGCTAAATCTAATGCATCTGTGTGATCTTTCAGAGACATGTGTCACCCCAATCATTGCTAGAGTTGATTTGATGCGTCATACTGGGTGGGCCATGTCTGCTTCCCCTCCCACTCCCTCACTTACCCTGCCTCACCTCATGCACCCCCTCAAAATATCACATCCAGTCACTGAACTTTCCTGCCCAGGACAGAGCAGGGCCAGTCTGTATGAACAGCAGACCTGTTCTGGTGTGCAAGAGGAAGAAAGCATGTGAGTCAGAATGGACTGGGAGGATTCGGGAGAGATGACCTGAATCTTCTGTTCCATTAAGGATGGGGAAGGGAGGCTGCAAGCTGTCAGAACAGAAAGGGAAAAAAAAGTGAAAGAAGCCCACTCTGGAAAGAGTTTGATTGGAAAAGGTAGATTGTCTGAGCAAGGACTTTGGAAAGGGTGGCCTCAACTTAATCGAGATGATTTAAGAGTCATCTGTCTCAAAGTGATGACTGACAGTGTAGGAATGAATTAGATCAAGAGGGAAGGGAATGGAAAGGGAAAAGAGAAGAGGCCCAGAGCGTGAGAAGAGGCAGAGAGAAGCCAGCGAAGGAGGAAGAGGAGACATCTGTGTATTCAAGGACAAAGCACTGCTTGCTAAAAAGGATATCAACTAGATTGAAAATTGGCAACAGTTTCACCCAAACACTATAAAAATCGATACTTTTCATTAACAAAGTGCCTTGAAATTTAATTTGATCTTATTTGCAGACAGTATTACTTATAAAGGGATATTTATGCTCCTAAATTCAGACAAAGAAACTAGCATTAATCAAAGATATTAGCTCATTTTAATTTTTCTTTGCTACATTTATGTTTGAGCCAGTGAGATCATTTGGGGATATATCTATCTATATAAAAATCTATATATCGAGAGAACGAGAAAGACTTGTATGGTGTAAAAAAAAAAAGGTTGTGAATTTAGGGAGGGACACAGTTCAACCCATAACACCTTGCCC